CCAAATTCTAAGAATTGGGTTTTGAATGGGAAAAAGGAATCATAGAAAAGTCGTTGTTGAAAGATGCATCAATATTTAACAGAAAAAATTTCCAATCCCATTCCTAAGGTGAGGATGCATCTATCCCATAACAAATTGAGGGTTGAGTTATATACACTTAATGAAATTTATAGCTCATAGAGTGCGGTGTCTTAGTTATGGGAGCACTCTTGACAAATTTCACCTATGTGGGTGTTGAAGTGAGGCCGCTTCTATGAAAATTGGATGGGCAATTTTCTAGATCACTCATGAAAACCGAGATCATGCACAAGGCCATAATGTACTAGCTATGTCAAAAACTCAACATTCGGATCATTATGTGTGTGATACAATTCTTGTATCTTCCAATGGAGTCATAATTCAAGACTTAATTCACTATTGACTTTGGATTAAGAATTGTTGACTCACTAAGTAAAGGTTCATGGCTTAGTTACCTTTGTTATGCATAATAATCCATCTTTGCCCAAAAGAAAGCTTTATTTTTCATTAAAATAGTGGGGGAATTGTTGGAACTTAAATATTTTAATAAAAAATAAAATAATATATTTTATAAATTGAATTTATTGTTCTATTAAAGACTTGGTCAAACTAACCGTTGTAGGTTAATTATCTTATTTAAAGGCACATTATTTCATAATAAGTGCTCAATTTATTCCTTTCATTAACCTACAAATGAGAGTTACAAGATCATGAGTCCTATAAATAAGACATGTCTCTTTGCTCAAAAAGAGAGTTCCTCCACATTTTTCTATTTTCCATTCCTTATTTTATCTTCTAAATATTTTTGGGTAAAGAAAGATGTTTTTGAGTTAGGTGATTCTATAAATAGTGTAGATTCATAAAGTGTTAATATAAAGCTATAGCATCTTGGGGGTGACATGCTATATATATCTCTGTTGCACTGGTTGATCTACTCTTTGTAGAGACGTGAATCACCTTAAAGTAAGTAAGCTCTTCATGCATATTTTGATGATTTTTTTTATTGATATTTCTTGATAAGTTCAGTAATTATTATTTTATTCGATCTTGTGACTGAAGCACAACAATAACATGATGTGGAGATGGAGGAGAGTGTTTGAGGAACAACACGACATAGTTAGCTGGTGGCTAGGGTGGCCGATGGGTTTGACGAGGATGCAAATGGAATTATAGCCCCTAAAATATGACCCTTCTATCTCCTTTGCCATTTGATTCACTTGTTGCACCTCTTTGTCCTTCTTTTGGCTTGTATTCCCTTTTTTCATTACACTTGCAGCTTCAACAATCTTCCCTTTTTTGATTCCATTATCAATTCTCTCTCTAGTAATTACTAAATCAAAAAAGCTTTTTGTGGTGTTTCCAATCAATTTGGTCATAATAAAGAGCCTTTAGAGTGTTAATAAAAGTTGTCACCATTTCCTTATCAGACAAGGGAGATTGAACTTGTAAAGCGGTGTCCCTCCACCTTTGTGAATATTGCTTAATGCTTTATGTGCACTTTTACTCCATATTCTAGAGGTTGATTCATGTGGGTGCTCTCTCTAAGACATGCTTGTTGGGACACATTTTTTTTTTATATCTATATAATATTTACATTTATGTATTGGGGACCAACATATATGTACAAAGAAGTTTCAATCAAAAATCATTAAAACATGTAATTTGTTTCCATTTAATTATAACATGAACAAAGTTTGAAGATCTTCATAATTTAAAATCTAAAATATAGTTTGTTTAAATACTATTTTTGGTCCCTCTACTATTGAAAAAAGTCCCTTTTTGGTTTTTGTACTGAAAAAATCCCTTTTTTGATCCCTATAGTTTAAAATCCGGCCCATTTTTAGGCCTTCCATTAAATTTTGGCTGATGTGGCATGTTAATTAACAGAATTGTGTAATTTATTTTTTATATAAATGATGTGGAAAATCCATGGCGTAAAAAAATGATGATGTGGCATCTTGTGTATTAATACTAAATAAAATATGTAATTTTAATAAGTATATATTTTAATTATAAAAGTTAAAATTACAAATTTACCCTTAAACTTCATCTTCAACCTCCCATCTTCTCTTTCCTCCATCTAAACCAAACTCGACAGAGTCTTTTCTCTCTTCTCTTCTTTTCTCCTCTCATCTGACTAAGTCTTTTTCTTAATAAACTGGCAATAACTCCCCAATAAAGTATCTCACCATTCACATCTCACCATTCTTCCCCTTCTATCTTATCCGCTAGAGCCTTCATGCTAGGTTTGTCATGAACCTAGGTGCTGGGTTTGTCACGCCTAGCTCCAGCCATCCATTTCTTATGGCTAGCATCAATAGGTTGAAAAAATTGAAATTCAAAAACTAAATCGAAATTCAAAGACTGACATTGATTTCATCAATTAAAAGCAAAAAAATCTCACAATGAATGCGCACAAAAAAGGGATAACATAAAGGTTAAGATCCAATTCTTTAAATGATCAAATCAATGGTTGAAATTCAAAAACTAAATCGAAATCCTTCATAGTCAGAATCAGTAGATGCAAGCTAAAAAGAAAAGAAATATAGAAAGCGAAATGCACAACAAAAGAGACTCGAATCTCTAGCTATAATACTCGAAATCGTTACTATGAACAATCTAATCATCAAACTAACTTTAAAAGTCAAAAGTTAAATCTGCATCACTCATATTCAAAAGACAGTGAAAATGAAAATGGAATACGAAATACAATGGAAAGGCATGATTCTGTATACAGAAAGATGATGATGATGAAGAAAAGGGGATCAGATCTAAAGACTTGGAAAGAAGAACCTAGCGACTGCACTGGGTTCTTAGAACCCAGCACCCTACAATGAACCCAAGTTAGGCGTTGGGTTCTCGTCGAACCAAAAAAGGTGAAAAAAAAAAAAAGCGCCAGAGGAAGGAGAGGATAGACACAATGGAGAAGAAGAGGGGGTAATTAAGTAATTAAAGTCAATTACTTTTAATTACAAAATAACCTTTAAAATATTTCTAATGGCAATTATGTAATTAAATGATTTTTAAGGTTATATTAGACAAAAAAAATTAGCCATGTCATCAAATGGATTTTGCCATGTAAGTTAAGAAAAGAAAAAAAAAAGTTTTTCCATTAATTGACATACCACATTAGCCAAAATTTAACAAAAAGACTAAAAAGGGATCGGATTTCAAATTGTAAAGATCAAAAAGGGAATTTTTTCAGTACAAGGACCAAAAACGGGTTTTTTTTACTAGTAGAGGGACCAAAAAGGGTATTTAACCATATAGTTTTTACATGAAATACTAAATAACAATAAGTCATTAAAGTACTTACTACATATTAAGATAAAAAATTCTAATAATACATACACTTGCCACTACTTATCTAAGCATTATTCACTAAGTCTTAAGAGAAATGAAGTAATAGCTCCACCGTGAAGATAAACTCCAAGGATGAAAAACTATCTTGAGAAGAAAAATACCAAAACAAAAACTTTTGGGTTGTGTTTGGGAACTTGAATTTGAATTTGATGAGTGTAATTAAAATACATGTATTTGAAATACATGCATTTAAAATATATGTATTTTAAAATACATTGTTTGGATTGAATTAAAAAAATGAATTTCAAATACATACATTTTTAAGTACATTGTTTGGATATTTTAAAATACTATGTATTTAAATTTGAATTTTTTCATTAAATTAAATTTTCTTCTAATTATTATTTAAATTTAATAAAGTCAAAGTTAACAATTTTAGTCTTTCAAAACATTATTTAAATTACTTCAAGACAAACAAATTAGATAAAAAAAAAAAAAGGAACAATGACCTCCACTGATCAATTTGTCATCATATTCTCCATTTTCTGTTCATTTTTTTCATTGTTATCCAGTATTCAATTTTTGTAAAGATGGATTTATCATGAAAGAATTTCAATATGAAAAATAAAAAGAAAAAATTGTATCTAAAATGATTATCAACTATGTCCATTAACAAAATAGTTGAGGTAACACTTCTTAATTGCAAAACGAAATAGAAATATGACATTTTTTATTGAAGACTTCGAACAATTATGTTCATTAACAAGTAGTTGAAGTAACACTCCTTAATTGCAAAATAAAATAGAAATATAACATTTTTTGTTAAAAGTTTCGAAGTAAACCATTGAATTGAGGTTGAAAGTTGAAATAGAATTAATCTTATAAAATTATATCTTATTTTTTTTTAACATGATAACTTTAATTTTTTTAAAAATTGAAATGGATACAAATTAATATAATTAATATATATAAAAATTATATAAAAAAATTATAAAAAAACTTATCCCTATGTCGCTTCATTATGAAAACGTAATCTTTGGCACTATTAATTCCAAAATTTCCTACCCAGTTATTGATGCCATCTGGCATGAGAAGTAACAAAAATTCAATTTAAATTCAAATGAAGCAAATCATGATTTTTTTGGAAAGTATAATCCCCTTAGAATCTCAATTGCATCCAATCACCGAAAAATCCGATCAAGTAATCCCACCGAGAAACGCAAGCCCCTGCTAAAAAAGAGATGTTGCCGCTATTGGCCACCCCTTAGCCACCATTGACAAAACAATTCCCAATTCATCCCGAAGCCAACCAAACCCCTTCCTCCTCACCCATTGTTGACAGGGCAAGATAGCCATGCAGCCTCGCCATCCAAAGCAAAACTGATTGGTAAGCTAAGATACACTACTCTTTTTCCTCGACCCCCACCGCTTCCACTATCAGATCGAAATCTTCCATGGCCAACAACCCGGTCACCACCATTGTAATATCTCAAAATTTCTAGAATATTAAAGTTGAGTTGGGGACTAATTTGTGAGGAAATATTATTAATGGCCTTAATAATAGAAACTTTCAAAGTTCGAGGACTTAGAAGAAAGGAAATAGGATAAGGATTGACTGATTTTTTTTCTTTTCTTTTCTTTTTTTCTTTTTCTTTCTTTCTTCTTCGCACGCGTGTCCTGCTCTTCTTCTTCCTCCCGACCCCCTACAACCCGACGAGCTCCCCAGCTACCGCCACCCATCTCCGGCCGGGAATACCGGTAAAGCTTGGAGATTTCTCCTCCTTTTCTTGTTCTAGAACACCTATTAAACCCAGAATTTTCTAGATCTGCTTTCTTCCCTCTGCTGCGACCTCCTTGTGGCTGGGTGGGTGAAATTTTCAACTATTTTGGGTAAGCAACAACCATGGAATTCATCTTTTCTCCCTTAATTTGGCTTGGGTTCACTCTAATTGCTCTTATTTCTTTCCAATTTGGTGTTAGTTCTTCTCCAATTCCCGCCAGCCTTTGAACCCGCCAGGCTCGGTTTGGCTTGCCATAATTCTCTGGTATGAAACAGCTTTTAAAGCTGAATTTTAAGCCATTTAATTGTTGCCATGCTGAGTTTTAATGGTTGAATTGCTCCCCCTATTGTTGTCCGAATTTTCTGCTGGGAATAAGAGGGGATTTGGTAGTGAATGGGACCATGATTTTGCTTAATTCATGTAGAAATTAGTTTAAGTAGGTTGTTGTGATGTTCTAGAGAGAAAATCCCGTGTGTGTGAGTTGTGGTTTGCCAAAGCCATGCTCTCCATGTGCTGCCCGTGAGAAATGGGAAATTTTATGTGTATTATGCAAATATATAAATGCACAATTGATTTTGTGCTCGATTTCGGATAGAAAAATGAATAAATAAATAAATATGGTATTATGGGAGTTAATTGCCGGGTAAATTGGGAAAGAATTAAATATGTCATTTTATATGGGTATTAATTTTGGAAATATTTTGATTAGGTACTTGGTTATTCTGCACTCTAGCACTTGGGATTAGTGTTCTGTTTGGTGCGATTTGAGGTAAGTAAATTATGGTAATGCCCTTTGATTTTAAGGCATGTTTTAAATTGTTTTTGAGATGATGGCAAGTTTAAGTTGATTTTAAATTGATTTTAAATTGATTTTAAATTGATTTTATTAGCACCGATCATGATTGGTTTAAAATGACATTGTTTTCATTTGCATTGAGTAGAGCATGCCTACTTGGAATTGACTGAACTACCTTGAAGAATTGAGAATTTTGTAAATTCTAAGTTTTTCTATTAAATCCATGCTCACGTGGAAATTTTATGGTTTATTTTTGAAATTTGAGATTAATTGTGAATTACGGATTTTCTGTAAATCTTGCATGGTTTTGTCTCTGATATAGTCATGATTACTGACGCCCGCCAGTGAGAGTTTGCAAACACTGGCACATATCGACATGTTTACTGATATGACCGGTCCATTTTGTAATCCTGCCAATGGGATAATACATTGGTAATTACTGACGCCTGCCAGTGGGAGTTTGTTAAACACTAGTACTACTGACGCCTGCCAATGGGTGAATACATTGGTAATTACTGACGCCTGCTAGTGGGAGTTTGTTAAACACTGGCCATGACTTATAGATGAGACTACTATTGAATTTTGATTCTGCATAAACGGTTTGTCATTGAACGCTTTGCTATTGAACTGAATTTGATTCTGTGTTAACGGTTTATCATTGAATGTTTTGTTATGTTAAACTGTTTATCAGGCATGCTAAAATTTTATTCACGGGCTATCCATATTTTACTTACTAAGATATTTTATCTCACTTAGTTTTTCCTTGTCCACCATTTTAGGTAGTGATACCCGACACATAGGGAGCCGGGGGAGTGACGAGCTAGACGGTTAGGCATTATTTTGGACTTAGATCTTTTGGAGTTAGGTCGCTAGTCTCACATGGTTGACATAAATAACCATTTTTGTGTACAGAGTTTCCTTAGTCATAACCATAACTGTTTATAAACTGTTGTACATCTTGACTAGTAAATTTTTGGTAATGGAAAGTTAGATTTTACCTAAGTTTTTAGAATTGAATTATCTGAATTGGAAATTAAGAACTCAGTAGGTTTCGAGCCTTGTGCATTTGTGAGACCCGTTCACGAGTGCACGGCGTTTGTTATGTCCTCGGATTTGGGTTCTGGGGTATGACAACCATCATCGTCCCTCTATGTATGTTCCCTTTCTCGTCGCCAAGACTTGATGAATCTGCAGGAAAACTACCTAAAGCAAACGAAACCCCAAAATCCGAGCAAAACCAAAATCCTCCTCGCACAAAAAACCTACTATCAAGGAGAGGTTTGAGTGGCCGACAACGAGAAGGTGAGAGAGTAGTGATAGAGTCAATGATGGGCGGACGATGAAGGTCTCATCGCCATCGGTGAGAGGAGAGGGTGCAGAGGAAATTCATTTCAAAATTGAAATTCATGGGTTTGAGGATGAATTTGAAATACATGGTTTTTAACCTTTGAAATTACTTTGTGGAAATGCATGTAGTTCCATTAAATCCAATTACTTTTTATTTAAGTAAAAACAAATAATGATATTGAATTTTAACCTCTCAAATTCAAATACACTATTTTAAATTCACGTTAACAAACAGACCATTGGTGAGTTATGAACTTAGTAAATATAATATATTATAAAATCTTTTACAACTAAGGGTATATTTGGGATTGCTGTGACATGATATAACTATTGATGCGGTTGTGGTTGTATTGGACTGTACTATGATGTAGATATAGTTGAAAGTTATTTTGATGTTTAGTTATTTATTTTTTAAAAGTATTGTGGATGAAATATAATAGATTTTATTAATTATTAATTAAAATTTAAAAGATATTGTAAGTTATATAATTATTAAAATAGATAACATTTACTATTTTTTAATAATTTAAGTTTTTAAGATTTGTTATCATTATTAAAATATTATAAATTATGATGTAATTAAATTATACAAAATTAGGTTTTAATAGGTAAATTTGTAATTATATTAAATATTAGGTGGTCTCCATAAAAGCTATAGCCAAAAAAACTCCAAAATGAAGCTTCTAACTTTATATATAAAATTATGACAATGATGTATATATCTTGCTCTGTTATATATTCCATTACACATTGATTTTTTGTTACTTAGTGCATGTTTGGTGCAAATTCTTGGAAAGACTTTTTCAGTGTAAAAGTTCAAGTGATGCCAAACACTAAAACTTTTAGTTTTTGCTTCAATTGTTGAGAAGCTGGTCTTATCTTCTAGCCTTTGAAAATAAGCAAATCATGCTTTTGTAGGAGCTTTGGCTGGTGTTTAATGAAATTTGCTTGTTATTCTTATTTTATCCTCATGGTTTAAAATATTTACAATTAAACCACTACATATACAACATCTTTTATAACACAAATCCCTAATTTTTCCTTTTCTCCATCTTCTCCATCTGTCAATCTCCTCTTTGAATAGATTCTTTGTTGTTGCTAACTGTCTCTTTGAATAGATTCTTTGTTGTTGCTGACTGTCTCTTTGAATAGATTCTTTGTTGTTGTTGACTGCTCTGGTTAGCACAGAAAAGCAAGCTTTCCATCTTGTTCCGGTCTATTTTCTTCTTCATGCTCACCCTATAGCAGATTTCCCTTTTCTCGATCTTGCTGCTCTATTCAAGCTTAGACATCCTCATCCTCCTCATCCCAGATCCAATGGTGGAGCCTCTAATCTTCAACGGTAAGTTCCAAATCCAATGGTTTATTATTGTTACTCTAGTGCTCTGGTATTAATGAGATATGTTCCTACAATTATGGAGAAATATCAACATAGAGTAATCTCAGCATATCAGCTTCATCTTTACATATCTGTACTTTCCACTTTTACTACACTTTTATTGCTTCCTTTTCTTTAGGCCTAACTTTAGCTAGAATTAATTTTTCCTTGCTGTATATATGTATGTAATTGTGCACGAGATCAATACATGAGAAAACATTCCATTACTTTTGACATGGTATCAAAGTAGGTTTTCTTCTTGCCTTTTCTTTTTCCTTCAGAACCCTAAAGTTTTCATTATGTCAACAGAAGATACACCCAAAGCAACAAAATCCAACACGACTTCAACCATGCCTTCAACCAACATTGAAATAGATCTGTCTTCTCCCTTTTATCTTCATCATTCTGACAATCCAGGCATTGTGCTTGTTTCACAGCCTTTGATTGGCGAAAATTATGCCACATGGAGTCAAGCTATTACCATGGCCCTTGAAGCAAAGAACAAACTTGGATTTGTTGATGGTATAATCAAAAAACCAGCTGCTTAATCAGCTTCCTTCTCCATTTGGAGTCGATGCAATAGCATGGTCCTTTCTTGGATCTTGAATGCTGTCTCAAAGGACATAGCAAATAGTGTGGTTTTCATGAAAATAGCCCGCACCATCTAGATAGATTTGAGGGATTGATTTTCACAACACAATGCCCCACCCATATTTGAAATCCAAAGGTCGATTGTAAATCACTCTCAGCAAAACAATTCAGTCACAACCTATTACATAGCATTAAAAGGATTATGGGATGAGTTAGCAACATATAATCCATATCCATCATGCACTTGTGGTGCCACCTCAGAGATTCATTCATTGGAAGAAGAGTATCGACTAATGCAGTTTCTCATAGGACTCAATGAACCCTATAGCAACCTAAGAAGCCAAATTTTATTAATGAATCCTTTACCAACTATCACAAAAGCATTATCATTGGCTATGCAAGATGAAAGACAAAGGTCGATTCACACTATCTCTCTATCTCCATATCTAGAGCAGTCAACTATGGCTGCAACCAATGTGCAAGGATCCTTTCAAGAAACCCACCTAAATCAATCAAACATGAACAAATATGGAAGACCTTTTTATCACTGTGAGTTTTGTGGTATGGATGGACACTCAGAGTCTAGGTGTTAGAATAAACCAAGAAACTCTCAAAATTTCAATAACTGATGTGATACTCATGTCCAACAAGAGTCTAATGTGCCAAGGCAAAATTGGAATGGTGGTGGATCTCAGAATAAGCATGTTGCTGTGGCTATTGACCAAGAGACATCAAGAGCATATCATAGTATGCCTTTCCCTTAGGAACAGGTTAAGTAGCTTCTTGTCCTCCTTCAACCAAATCCTTCACCTTCGTCTAATCCTCTAGTCAATATGCTAGGTAACATCTCTTGTTTTAATAGTCCTTGGATCGTTGGTTCCGGTTGCACTACCCATATTACCTATAGTTTAAATTCTTTAAACAACACTAAAACCTACATTGGATCACTTGTTAAATTACCTAATGGAAGTTTAGTGCTTGTCACTCATTCTGGTTCTATTGGTTTCAATTCAGATTTGCATCTAGACAATGTTATACATTTACCCTCATTCAAATTTGATTTGCTTTCCATTAGCAAACTCACAAAATCCCTTAATTGTTCCGTCCTTTTTCTACCTAATTTGTGCAATTTTCAAGAGCTGGTGATGAAGAAGGTGATTGGTTTAGCGAGGGAGCATGATGGACTTTATTATCTTGACACCAAGACCAATGTCTCTCTAACTAGTTTTCTTGTTGATACCAAGACCAACCTTTCTCCAAATATCTCTCTTCCTACAACTTCACCTCAAATGTCCTTGTACTGTGTGTCCACTTGCAAAGCAAACTCATTTATCATTTTCAAATAGTTCTATCTCAACAAATAATTGTTTTGATCTTATTCATTTGGACATTTGGGGTCCCTACTCTACCCCATCTCTTACTGGGGCACATTTCTTCTTAACTATTGTAGATGATTTCTCGCAACACTTGGGTCTTTTTAATGCAACATAAATCACAAACATTTAGTATATTTAAAATTTTTTTTCTTATGGTTCAAACACAATTTAAATACCACCATACGTAGAGTTCGAAGTGACAATGGTTTTGAATTTTTTAGTCGTGCCAGTAATGATTTTCTTAACTCTCATGGTGTCATTCATGAACATAGTTGTGTTGTTATGCCTCAACAAAATGGGGTAGTGGAACGCAAGCATAGACATTTGTTAAATATGGCCAGGGCACTTCAATTTCAATCAAAACTTCCTTTTAACTTTTGGGGTGAATGCATTCTCATTGCTACATATCTCATTAATCGAACCCCATCTAAAATACTTAATGGTAAAACACCATTTGAATTGCTTTTCCACAAGGCACCAACCGATACTCATCTACGTGTTTTTGGGTGCTTGTGTTTTGGACGTAACGTTCATGTCAAACACAAATTTGATCATCGTGCCCATCCTAGCATCTGCATTGGTTATCTTTTTGGCCAAAAGGGTTACAAAATTTTTTACATCAAAACACAAAAAATTTATGTTAGGCACAATGTAGTCTTTCATGAAAACATTTTTCGTTCTGCTCCTATAGCCTTGGATGACAAGTCCTTGCCTCTTCCAATACATGACCAAGATGTACCAGATCCTTCCTTGTTGGGACCACAAGCTTTAGATCATACAACACATGTCTCATCCCCTACTGCCATTCAAACCACCATTCAACCACCAACTGATCAAGCCCCTCCAAATGACACTTTGCCAACATTAAGAAGATCCCAACGTCATATTCAACCACCTGCAAGATATAAGGATTATCACTACTTCAATGTTATTGATCAATCAACTTCTTCGAATCTAGGTACAAAATTTCCAATTGATAAATACTTATCTTATTCTCGGTTTTCTAATAATCATTATGCCTTAACTCCTTGTCATGTGAAATTGAACCAACTACATATAACCAAGCTGTTAAGTTTTCTGAGTGGAAGCAAGCTATGTAGGCTGAACTTGATGCTCTTGAAAACACCCACACATGGTCTCTTGTTCCTCTACTTGTTGATAAAAGGCTCATTGGATGCAAATGGGTTTACAAAATCAAATGAAATTTTGATGGAAGAATTGAAAGATATGAAGCTTGACTTGTTGCCAAGGGATTTACACAGATTGAGGGTGTTGATTGCCATGATACTTTTTCACTTGTAGCCAAACTTGTGACTGTACGAGTTCTTTTGGCAATTGCACCTGTACATTAGTGGCCTTTACATCAACTAGATGTTCAAAATGCTTTCTTACATGGTGATTTACATAAGGAAGTCTATATGTCTCTACCACCCGGACATCCTTGAAAGGGGGAGCGTGGACTTGTGTGTAGATTGCATAAATCTCTTTATGGCTTGAAGCAGGCATCTTGCAATTGGTTTGCAAAATTCTCACATGCTCTACTTGACATGGGTTTCACTCAATCTTATGAAGATTATTCTCTATTTGCACTTACTCATGGATTAGCCTCAGTTTACATATTAGTCTATGTGGATGACATGGCAATCATAGGAAATAGTCCTCATCTCATTGCTCATGTCAAGGAATTTCTATTGAGCCGTTTTTGAATTAAAGATTTGGGACCACTTAAATATTTTCTTGGCATTGAGGTGGCTCATTCTCCGCAAGGCATTTACCTTTGTCAATGAAAGTATATACTTGATTTACTTGATGATGCTAGATTACTGGGCAGTAGAATTGCAGAAACACCAATGGAACAAAACCTTAAACTCACAAATTGTGATGGACCCTTATTAGATGATCCTTCCATATATCGGCGCCTTGTCGGCAGACTTATATATCTTACTATCACCAGACCTGATATTTACTTTGCTACGAATATTTTAAGCTAGTTCATGCAATCTCTACGGCAACCACATCTAGATGCCACATTCCAACTACTTCGATACTTGAAGAAGACTCCGTGGCAAGGTATATTATTCTCTTCCACCAGTTCTCTTATAGTGACGACATTTTGTGATTCAGATTGGGCTAGTTGTATCACTACCCATCGTTCTACCATAGGCTATTGTATTTTTCTTGGCAATAGTCCCATTTCATGGAAAAGCAAGAAACAGAACACTGTCTCATTCTCTTCTGCTGAGACTGAGTATTGTGCCATGGCCACCACTACTAAAAAGCAATCTTACTACGAAGACTCTTGCATAATTTTGGTATTCGTCGGCCTCAATCTACACCACTATATTGTGACAATCAAGCTACAAGACACATAGTTGCAAACCTAGTGTTCCATGAACAAACCAAGCATATTGAAATTGATTATCACTTTGTTCGGGAAAAATTTCAGTTGGGAGTCATTTTTTTGTTGCCCATTTCTTCCTCACAACAACCTGCTGACATTTTCACCAAACCACTTGGCAAGGACACATTTTTCCTTCCTCTGTAGCAAACTGGGCATTCAAAACCTTCATGCTCCAGCTTGAGGGGGAGTATTAGCGAGATATGTTCCTACAATTATGGAGAAATATCAGCATAGAGTAACCTCAGCATATTAGCTTCATCTTTGCATATCTGTGTTTTCCACTTTTACTACACTTTTATTGCTTCCTTTTCTTTAGGCTTAACCTTAGTTAGAATTAAATTTTCCTTGCTATATATATGTATGTAATTGTGCACGAAATTAATACATGAGAAAACATTCCATTACTTTTGACATCTGGTGCCCATGATTTTCATCTCATATGAATCCTCTCTTCACAATTCATCTAGAAATAAAAACCTTACTCGCACAATGGAGGAGGGGTGATTCGGAGAAGCAAAAAAAAAAAAAAAAATGGGAGTGCAATCACACACAAAAAAAAAAAAAAAAAAACCATCATCTTCACCGATCATCTCTCTAATCTCATCATCTTCACCAATCACCACCAAATGACCATAGCCACTAGGAACAAAAGGGAAACTTATTATTTTTTTCTATAGGACTAGCTATTTATGGGTTAAAAATAAAGGGGAGAGATGTGTTGGGAGGTTCTTTCAATTTGGGAATTTTGTTTTGCTTGGAAAACTATTCTGGGGTTATTTCGATTTGGTTTGGCTAGCTCTTTGGAAAGGGTATTTTTTGGTTGGCCCTTTGTAGGATTTTCTGGATATTAGCTTGAAACAAGTGAATTTGTTCTTGCTTTAAGTAACCTTATTAACAACTTGGAAAGATGCTCTGGAAGAAATCTGTGAAAGTGGGATTGGAGTTATCATTGAGTCAGGTGGGAGCATTAAAGATAATGATGCTATAGACTATTGTAGCAAATATGGAGTCTCACTTCTTTTCACTAATGTGAGGCACTTCAGGCACTAATGCTTTTATTTCTTATGCCATGAATGGCTAGGAATTTTTGAAACTCTTCTTAAATAAGAGAGATGATATTTATACCTTGTGCATCTTTGAACAACTAAAATTTTCACTTGATTTGCTCATGGTTTCCTTCCTAATTGATATGAAAAAAATAAAATACTATATGGCATATCTTTTTGTGGCATAAGCATGACTGGAGGATTAATTTTTGTTAGATTGATCTAAGGCTGAACTAATTCTTTAATATCAATGGTTCATTGTTTTGGATTCTTTTGCTTGAACATGACAAAAGCATATCCATTGTTGTGGGATTAACATGAAGCACCATGATCAAAAGTTACAGAATATAAGCTCTTTTCTTTTTTTTTGAATAAGTTGTCAAGGGGCGGGCTCGAAGCTACCCATGGGAGAGGGGGAAATGCACCTCAAGTTGGCAAGGTGCCAGTTGGCCCGAAGGGCCAGGTGCTAGAATATAAGCTCTTTAGTGGTGAATTTGACATAATTTTTAATTTTATTGTTTTATTTATGTAATTTAAATATAATATGTTGTATTTTTTTAATATTAAAATATAAATATTTATCTAGCATTTATATTTTAAAATAAAAAAATTAATTTTTAATTATCGATTTTAAAATAATTAAAAAAATTAAAGTTTTATAAAAACATAAAATAAAAAATGAAGTGGGAGGATGCTTAGTAAATAAAAAATGACTATTTCAATTATTTTATCATTACATTGGATTAAAAGATCTTTTATAAAAAATTTTACCAAACAACTTTTTACTCTACAAGTACTTTTATAAAAAATTTTACCAAACACTTTCAATTTCTCAAAAACAATATTTCTACAATAGATTCTCTCCAATAGAACTTCTATTTAAAGCTCTAGCCACACCAAACATGCTCATAATCTATTAACTCCAAACGCACCCAGCCTAGTCCTTTCTTTCTCTCTCTCTCTCCTTGCCTTTCTCCCTCTTGCTATTTTGGCCGAACAGTGAAGTAGGACACTCTGAGGAAGAAGGGGCAATAGAAGAAGACTATGCAGGAGTAGGAGCAGAGATAGAGTAATCATCAATTGAAATAATGGAAAGAGAAGCCTTAGACCCAGAAGTAGATTTGGCAAAAGTAAGGGAGATGATGTTGCAAGGCAGTGGTAGTGAAAGCAGATTTGGTGGAGGTATAGGTGGGGGGTGGAGATACAATTGGCAGTGATACAAGATTGAGGGTGAAGGAGAGGGTGAAAGGAAACGAGAGAGAGAGAAAGAAAGGGCTAAGCTGGGTGCATTTAGGAGTTAACGGATTAAGTAATGAAGAGTCAGTGTGTAACGAAATGTGTAATAGAGCAAGGTGTATGTACCATTTCCTATAAAATTATTGTAGATTTGCTATGGCTTTCTGCAGCTTTTAGAAAAAGCAATCAGAAAAAAAATTACCAAATACACATATATCTAAAAGTACTATATGCCTACATGAAAAAGCTCCAAATCGCAACCTCAAATGCATCCTAACATACACAAGTAAGTAAAATATAGAATAACTACACTTATGTATACCCATACAAATTGTCTCAATCATTCAAATCATAACTTAATGTTTATAGTAAGGGTTTACAATATCACTAGGGATATATAGCCCAAACTGTTTCCACCAAGGAAATCACAAACTGATAACCATATATATAGCCATAGTCATGGAGTAGTTAGAGTGAGTTTAGCCAATACACCCCCACGTTCTATCTCTGTTAGATAGGGTATGTCACGTCCCAAAACCCAAATTCGAGGCGCGACAGACGCCGTACACTCGTGAGACGAGTCCCACAAATGTACAAGGCTCGAAACTTAATCAATTCACATCTGATACCACAAAATCTGAAGATAAAATCTTAAAATTTGCTCTAATATCATAAAATCTCCAAATACACTCTAGTTTACAAGATCATGATTTATTTCTAGAATCTATATCAATCTCGAAATGGCTAGCCTTCTAACTCGTCACTTCCCATGGTTTCCCCGTCCTCG